ATCGCTGGAGAATCGGTTCAGAATGCGCCCGGCAGGCGTAGTGTCAAAGAAGGACATTGGAGACCTGAAAATCGCATTGGCCATGCGCTCATGGAGCTTACGAGAGGCCTCGATAGAACAGAAGATCCACAGAATCAGAGTTTGGCCGACCGTGAGTAAAGATGAGCCGATACCGAACGCAAAGTAGATGCCGATGTACTTGCCGATGCTATCGTTGGAACCCGTCTTTTCGTTGTGTTCGGACCATTCTTTTAGCCAGACAGAGCCGCCAATGCTGGCAGATTGGGAAGCCAAGAGGGCAAAAATGTAGATTCCAACAGCGACTAGATTGTTTTCCTTTGCATATTCACCGTACACAGACCACTTGACTTTGCCTTGTTCAACGAATTCCTTCGTTTGCTTGGTCCGCGAGGCGCTGGCAAGCTCTTCGTCGGTAAGCTTGCCTCGAGGGCCCCTGAAGCTCGCTGTACTAGCACGGCGTAGAGTGGCCATGCTGCTTGATCGGGTTTTCTTACCCATAGGTGTAGCACCCTTGATTGGTTCCATCTCTGGAACGTCTTCTAGAGCCTCTTCAACTTCTTCCTTGTTCTGGGTAAAGCTAGGTTCACCCTCAATAATAGTTGAGGTCTCGCTAGAAGGAGGGCTGGAGCTACCTGAGCCGTTATTCGAGTCCTGACCGGCAGTCCTCAGCAGATCGGCAACCAGTCCTTTCTTGGCAATCAGCTGCGAGTAAGTTCCCTTCTCAGCAACTTCACCATCCTTCAGCATAGTAATAAAGCTGGCTTGCTTGAGAACGGGGATAGAGTTGGTTGCAAGGATTCTAGTCTTTGTCGAAAGCAAACCGCGAGGGCCAAGGACACTGTCGATGATGTGACGACCAACATGTGAGTCCACGGCAGACAAAACATCATCCAAAAGGTAAATATCGGCTCTAGCGTAAACAGAACGCGCAAGAGACACTCGGGCCTTCTGTCCACCACTGAGAGAGATGCCTCTCTCGCCGACAACGGTCTCGTCGCCATCAGGCAGCTGAGCAAAGTCATCCAGTAGGGCGCAAGCTTTAATCGTTTTCTCGTAAAATTCAGAGTCGTATTTGTATCCAAAGACGATATTTTCTTTGACGGTTGCGTTCAAAATCCAGGTCTGTTGAGATGCATAGGCCACTGTGCCTCTAACCTCAGCAGAACCCTTGACTTTCCAAAGATCACCAAGAATACTCTGCAAGAAGGAAGATTTGCCAGCGCCCACGCGGCCAACGACACACGTCAGTTCGCCCTTATAGGCGGTGAAGTCGATGTCTTTGAGGACCTCCTTAGGCTCATGACGGTTCCAGGAGAAGGTGCCGTTGCGAATGAGCACTGTTTCTTCACCCATCTCTTTGGGAGCAGGCTTGACAGTGACAGAGTCAGACTGAAGTTCTTCGGCGGTTAGGAAATCGGTCAAACGGCCGATAGCAACTGACGCTTCAACGATGGACGTAATGACCATGGGCAAAACAGCCAATGGGAAGGTCAACAGGTTGAAAAGGGCCAGAGCAGGGAAGATAATGTCCGTTGTAAGCGGTCTATCTTGTGTGAGAACAAAGACGGTAAAAGTCGAACATGACACGAAAAACGGCGCTGTGTTCCAAGTGAAGTTGGCAAATGCTTGGGTGGCACCAATTCGTCGCAGATTCTTGAGCTCTTGCTCATTTCGGACGTAGTTGAGCTTGTTCATGAAAGCAGCACCCCACGCATAAAGCTTGATGCTCTTCATGTTAGTAATAATTTCATTGATGAGTCTGCTCCTGGCATCCTTGTTCTTCATCTGGTCTTTTTGCAAGTTCTTCATGATCCTGGCGACCCATCCCTGAGCTGGCATCATAATAATCATTACGACAATACCGGCCATCATTGACCACCCAACAAGGTTATAGAGCGAAATCATGCAGATGATAATTTGGAAGGGGGCCGACCAGGCTTGCTGCAAAAACTGAGTCAAGTCCTGGAGACGCTGGGCATCAACAGCCATGTAATTCACAATGTCTCCCGTGGTTTTTGTTGATCTCCCCTCGTTGGACAACCTCAAAGACTTTCGGTAGATGGTGGAGGCGAGGCCACCCTTGATCCGCATACCAGTTACGAAGGACAATTGGAAATATTGATGCTGTACGGAACGGTTAGCAAGACTCTACAAACGACCAGAACAGACGATAGCCGAGAAACAAGTCTGAGCCAGAAATAATTACATACCACCATCGTAGTTTGGAATACAGCACAAGAAAACATCGCCAATGCAATCGCCGCTCCCTTGATAACCGGTTCGGCAATCACACCGTACTCAGGGTTGTATGATTTGACCCAGGTAAGCAACAGACGAAGTAGCTGCGGCTGGATATACTGCGCGATGTCGTTACCGATCTTGAATAACGCAGCAACTGCATAGGGGCCACCGTAGGCACGAAACATGGCCAACCAAAGTGACGGGGACTTGGGACGGTGGCTCAACTCATGAGCCCAGGCCTTCTCGAAGGCTGCACCAGTGGTCTTGGTCTGGTCTGGTTTGGCCAGGCCCCACAGATCATTTTCAGTCAAAAAGACCTTGTAGCCATATTGCATCATGGGCGTCATCCAGGAAAATGTTAGACGAGAAAAGACAGTGGCGTATTCCACGGGGCATTCCTCATCCTCGAAGATGGCTTCGTAGCCACTTGGAACATGCTGACGAGGCCACAGCCACTCGACCAGGAATTCAACAACCGCAAATCCGAATCCAATGCAGTAAGCAATAAAGTAAGGCAGGTTCCCTTCATATACTTGTTGTGAAATCAAAGATCGAAGCTTGACGGTGAGCGAGATGAGGAGGAGGAGCCAGTAGAAGAGGACGACTCCATTGGCGTGCCGCAGGCGGGAGTGCTCAATCCATTGAATTGAAAAGATGACAAACAAGGAAAGAATGGTAAGAAGAGTTGTCAGCACGCGAAAGTCCCCATACCAAATGCCGGGCATGCCAAGGATTTGAATGACGAGTTGAACGACGACGTCGGCGATGAGAAAGACGAGAAGGGACTGTGAGACACGGGTCAGCTATCAAACATGGGCAAACGGAAGCTGTTTAGCACAAAGAGCATCGGTGACGCCGTGAACCCACCTGTTTGATGTAAAAGTGAGCATTCTTGGAGGCGCCCTCTTCCATGGGCTTTTTTTTCGTCAGCAGCCACCACAGGGCCACTGGTCCCAAGACGAGGGCATATACGGACACGGTTGCCAACCAAACATCGATGAAGCACGGCGTAAAGTCGTATCTGTACTTGCTAATTGGGCCCCAGCCCTCTTCGTTGCCGCAGAGCGGTTGCTGGAAGGCCGAGACAGAAAAGTAATTACCGCCGAGGCGCTGCAGCGGGCGCAGGCCGGTGAAGGAGCCGGAAAGCAGGCGGACCTGCTGCTCGCTGTAAGGGTCCATAAGGTCCAGAGGATCCATGGTCCTAGGTGAGGCGAGAGAGCGAGGAGGGTGAGGTCGAAGCAAATCACCACATGCTCAGGCGAAGGAACCGAATCGGGTCGTCGGCGCGGAACAAAGGTGTAAAGGTTGCGATTGAAAGTTGAGGTTGGCGCGTTTCCGTGGTCGGCGCCGGCGAGCCTCGATCAAAACTATGGGTCCAGCGAGCCAGTGACGTCTTTGCCGAGTACAATCCGAGCAACAGGGATGATGGATCAGAGACCGGTGGAGGTGGTTGTTGTCGGAAGGGTAGAGAGCAGCGATGGACGAGGAGGGTCCCTGCAGGTAAAAAAAGTTGTCAGCCAAGGAGGAGGAGGAAGAAGCACGAAAGAAGAAAAAAAGGATAAAAAAGATACATAACATGCCACATTATTAAATCCGAGACCCGAACGATATGGAAGTGTAGAGTCGTCGAATCGTGGTAACCATGTACTTGGTAGAATTTGCAGCCAAGCGTTTGTCAGCGACGGCGCTAAGTTTGCTGGGGGGCTTGGTATGACAGGGCAGGGCAAGGCAACGCCACCCCACTCTTGGAACTTGGAGGGGCCTGGACAACCGGGGGACCGACATGGAACCATGCATCTAATTGTCCAAACAAAAATGATCACCGTAGCAAACGAAACTTTCCAACACCACCATGGTGCCGAAGCAGCGACGGTCCGGCCAGCTCCAAGGCAGCGTGCATGACGACTGCTTTTGAAGGGTCCTGCAACGAGCCAGGCGCTGCGGATTACTAACAGTAGTGCGGATGGTGATGAGTGTGGGTGCGCATCCCAGGCACTTCCCTGCTTGAACAACTTTCGCCCTACATAAGTAACTTACCTGCTAGGTACCTCGGTAGGCACCGTCTATTGCAGAATCTATCTGCCTATCCAGAATTATACACTAATGTACGGAGTACTGCGATGCATTGCAGTATCGGGCGGGATAGCAAGGCACTACCAGATTCTGGCCGAACACATTTCGCCTCTTATAAATATAGTTTTGGCCCTAAGAAACAGACTTAATAGGAAAGGGATAATAGTCTTTAATGCCAATAAGAATTACAACAAAACTGCTGGTGGGACCGGTGCTGCAATTAGGCGCCAAGAACAGTCGCCAATCCTTCTGTCTATGAATTTGCCATGTAAACCCGCGCAAGCAAATCATCCCTCCATTCACATGGTCTTGTCGTATGCATGAATTACCACCCGGGCTTATCGGGCCTGTAGGCCTTACTCCCGTTGTGCATCTAACGGACCTGTTTCCAAGCTGTATCATTTATTATCACACTGAAACTCGTCAGCCACCACCATCTTCACCGACTTTCCGCCTCGTCTGTACGTATGGAGCACATTTGGCGTAATTATTAATAAGCCGCCACAAGACCTTACGCCATCCACAGCATAATTATCTTTCTGTCTACTAGTATTCTTCAAGTCTATTCTGATGTGTTCACCACGTCCACCACGTCTGGCATGACCATTGTGATTCGTACGGAATTCGCAGGCTGCGTCTGTTGCTGTTCAGGCTGGTTCACGCGCTCAGTTCCCAAGCGTCCGCAAAAAGCCGACCACTCTCTCGCCTAGCCACTCTCTCGCAGCCTCTTCCTTGACAGTATGCCCAGCATCCGGTATGAGTCCTGACAATGAGCTAACAAAAGGACTTGCTTTTTGGTATCTCTGATTCTGAGCCTCCTGGTTCACGTGGTCTGGAACAAATTCGTCTTGGCCCGAGTGCAATACCAGCACCGGTTTATTGAACCGGCTCCAAAACTTGGCCACAGTCGCATCGTCCAAGTCAGACGAAAAGTAGTCATCATCTCCGCTAAAATAAAGGTAGAGGGAGGGAGTGAAAGTCAACACCTGTTCTTCAGTACGTCAAGACGGGAGGCAGGCATCAGTGACCTACCCTTTTGCTACAAGCGACTTCAAGCGATAAGCGGAGATTGGTGCAGCCAGAACCGTGGGGACTTTATCGCCGGGGAGACAGTCACCAGCCCGGCCAGCGGCGATCCATGTGTCTGCTAACTCGATGCTTTCTTTAACACTGGGGAAAATGCCATCCATCGCCTCACGATCCGAGACTGGACCCTGCATGATGAAGCCATCGACTGGTGGGTTGCCGTGCTTGACGTAGTTGCTGTACTCCATACAATCCTAAGCCTAATCAGCAATGGTCATACATAAGTTCGAAGCAATTCAGACTTACTTGACAGCCTGTTGAATGGCCAAACAGGACGATTTTCTCTCGGCCCAAACCCCTCAAATACTTCACCAAAGCGGCGATGTCATCCACGTCGTTGCTTAAACTCGAGGTCCCAAATCCAATGAATGAGCTCCTTAATCGAAGCTCGAAAACAGAAAACTCAAGATCTTTACCTGTAGTTTCCAAATGCTTGGCCACGGTCCTAATATAAGGTACCGTGTGAGGCCCATCTCCAAGGCCGCCGATGAAAACCAGCGCGTTTTTGGAGTTCGGATATCCGAGCTCATACGCGCAGGCGCCTCGATTAGGCGATGGGTGAGGATGTACAATCACGGAGAATGAGCTGTGCGAAACCATGATGGCAAAGATGAAACAAATCTGTTAAGTCCGGTTATGTCTTCTAAAAAAAATGAAGCACTGAGAGATTAACTACTATTACAACCACGACATTGCCCGCATTTCGAAACTGCACTGCCTGGTCTGTTTACGTGGGCCAACCATACAGTGCGAAATTCGGCGCAATGCACATGCCCTCAGCAAAGCGAAGTGCGAAATAGAGCGCAGTGGGGAGGTTTGCCCCGCGACATGATGCCTGCACTTGCGGAGACAGTGTGTGGTGGTGCTGACAGACAGTATGGCGAGCCAACCTGGAATCAGCTGGCAGCCAGCAAAAAGGTGTCAATGTGTTCTGTGGTGGTGGATCTACTGCAACATGCATGTACGCACCCGAGTTTTGGCCGAACAGCCTCGCCAAAGACAATACATGTTCTTGTTTCCTGAATTGTTTTTGAAGTAATCTGCAAACCTAAAGCTCGTGGACATGGTACAGTGACGAGGTATTTTGAGGAAATTCCGTTTAGGGTCCTCGTGGACAACATGGCAGAGCAAACCGCAAACAAGGAACGGCATGACGTATTCCAAAAGGTATGGGCTGCACTGACTGCCTCGATCATCAAATTGAATGAACCCTGTGCGTGTGGGCTGACGGATCGCAGCTTAAACCATTTTGCGTCAAGATTAGCCAACTGGCTATCCAGGAGTCCGACTCAGCCGACGCCGCTCGTGAGCTCCTAGATCTAACTGCTCAAGTCCTGGATATTCTGAATACCCAGATTCAAAAGAACCCATCGGCCCTTGATGAGAAGTTGGCCGAATATGTCTTCTTCCCACTATACCACATCTTTCGTCAATTGGAACATTATCCTGCTCGCCTTATCGAGAACTGTGTCAAATGTCTTCAGTTGCTCATCACACATGGTTGGAAGACTAGGATTTCGCCCCAGCTGGTCCAACAAATATTCAGCTTCCTTATTTTCATCATCGATGACGTTCCTGGATTGAAGAAAAGAGACCGGGATGTTCCAGAAGAACTGCAGCTGGAAGCTTTCAGAACGCAGTTGGCTCTGCTTACCACGGCAGGTCAATCTGCCAGCGCCATGACTGGGCTGACAGAAGGAGATAGTATGCCGGCGTTGGGTCATGGGGTTACTGTTATGCTCGGTGGCGCTGTAGACGGTATTACACCACAAATCCAACTCGAAGCCTTACGCGTACTGAACGCACTTTATACCTCCTTGCGGGATCAAGCAGCCCTAGCAAGCTTTCTCCCAGGAACCGTTTCTTCTTTAACCAAGTTGCTGTCATCTCCAAATAGGCATAAATCCACGGTATTAGCGGAGAGTCTGAACGTTGTACAGACAGTCCTCACCAGGGTGTTAGGAGATATGCGAACACGGTCGATCCTAGCGAAAGGCGGTAAGGAGGATGAGAAACAGTCGGCGTCCTCCGACACGGACAAACTGTTGACTGCTGCATGGCTTAGGGCAACAGCAGATCAGGTCAAAGTGGCATTGTCAAATATGATGAAGCTTCGCACACATTCTTCGCAAAACGTTCTAGATGCTCTCGAGAGACTCTGCGTTTCACTCCTGGACGAGTGCCACAACTCTCTGTCTAATTGCACCACACTACTGGTCGAGACAGCTATTGTGCTGGATAAAGGAGAGAGTGCTCCAACACCTTCTTTGTCCACGCAGACTAGTTTACGACATCTAGTCATCATCTACCCTGAGCTTGGTGATGCTATAAAGACAGCCGTATATAGCTGGATGTCAAGCCTGGCCCGCATAATGCAAGCCGGAGAAGAAGAGGCCAAGAAAACCGCGGTGCATAACTTATCCAAAGGAATCGAATTATTTGAAAGTTTAGGAATAGAGTCTTCGACTCTGGAGGACACAATTGGCGGCGCATTGCGAGACAGTATTGTTTCTCTCATCCAATCTTCAAAGCAAGCACAACCAGCAATCCATTTGCAATTACTAGAGGGATCGCAAAACCAGCGAGAATCAGCCAACGAACAGCCATTCGAGCCAGTACTTATGGCAAACGAAAGTCAACGGACGCTGAGACAAGAAGTCACAAACTTGATAAGTCGCATTGCCTCAACTTCGGTACACTCCAACATCGCCGCTAGCATGATGGACCATGCCCGAGAGTCAGACTCAACAGACCAGGTCGCATCTCTGTGGCTCTGTTATGAGTTAGTCAAGGCTTCCGATGCCTTGAATGCAGGCTCAGATGCATTCCTGGACCTTTCTGCTCTGGGCGGCTCATCAGATGACCTGGAGCCCATTTTCGAGGACCTATACTCTTACTCTGTCCAAATTCTTGAGTCTCACGCTGATTCAGATCCTGTTGATTGGCGCCTGGAAGCCATTTCACTAGAAGTAGCAACCTACACCGCACAGAGACGTGGCGTATCATTCCGACCTGACCTGATGGACGTCCTCTTCCCCGTTGCGACGTTCTTAGGGTCGGAGAACCCACTGCTGCAACAACACGCAATAGCCTCTCTAAACAGCATCGCACTAGCATGCGAATACTCCAGCGTGTCAGAATTAATAATAGACAACGTCGACTATATGGTCAACTCCGTCGCCCTCCGCCTCAACTCGCTCGACATTTCGCCCGCATCAATGCAAGTTCTAACGATGATGATCCGACTCTCGGGGCCCAGATTAATCCCATACCTAAACGATGTCGTCGAATCCATTTTTGCTGCACTAGAAAACTACCACGGATATGTTCTCCTCGCGGAAAATTTGTTCACCGTCTTGAAGGAAATCGTTAACCAAGCATCCGTCATCAATGAGCGGTTGTTAACCGATGGCGAGAAAACCATGATAAACCACAAGAAAAAACCACGTCCAATCCTCGGCCTCGACGCCCTCCTCGACGACCTAGATAAGCGAGAGGCAAGACGCATTCGAGACGAGGAGGAAGCGAAATCATTTGCCCAAATAAAAGGCCACCCCAAAGAACCATGGAGTTCCAAAACCAAACAAGAAGAAGACGACGATGACGGTCGTCCACCTCCTGAGCCTGAAAAGCCACCCAACTCACCAACGTACCAGCTCCTTTTGAGAATCGCCTCCCTAACACAACACTACCTCACCTCCCCGACGGCCCGACTCCGCCGCTCCCTCCTCGAACTCCTAACCACCGCATCAACCATCCTCGCTGGCGACGAGGACTCCTTCCTGCCACTCATAAACTCCATCTGGCCGGTGGTCATTGAACGTCTCCGCGACCCCGAGCCCTTCATCAGCATCGAGGCTTGCCATGCACTGGTCGGTCTCTGCCGCGCAGCAGGAGACTTTCTCAGCACGAGATTCAAGACCGAGTGGGGCGAATGGCTTCGCGACTGGTGTCGAAAGACGAAAGCTAACGCTGAAGGACGCAAAGCCCACAGTCTCCCGCGTATTCCTGAAAAGGGGCAAAGCATCATGATCCCCATTCGCTCCGGAGACGGGCTACAAATTAAAGGTAAACCGGTAGAGTCGGGATCTAACACTTCGTCTGGAAGTTTGGGGCAGCACGCTTCACCGGTGAAGACGTGGGAAGCGGTCGTGGCGTTGCTCACTGCATTAGTGGAATACGTCCGTGTTGACGAGGTGATGTTTGATGATATTCTGGATTTATTGGCGGACGTAATGGAGAGTAACAAGGAAGTGAGGGAGGCTTTGGAAGTTATTAATGCAGATGCGGTGTGGCTGGTGAGGTACGAGAAGGGGAGGGAAGAATTGCTACCTACGCCGGTAGTGGACGGTTTTCACTTTGTAGAGATGGAGCAACTACCTCGGTCCTAAAGTCATGGTTGACAAAAGTAAAAAAACAAGGTTATATAAACTCTGGTCCGCTTCTCTATGGATCGCACGTATCAAATCTTGGAGTTGCCCAACAAGTACCCCTCCACCACGGCCGTCATCAATCTATTCGCAATAGCTTGAGGCGGCGGCACCCTCAAATCACCTTCCGTGTAGTCCTTTGGAGGAGGTGCGCCGAGAGCACCAGCGGTCTGCGCGAGCGCTGTCCTGACCTCTTCCACGGTGAACCACCTTGCGCTCTCCAGTTCTTTGTCGTTCAAATTGATTTTCTCCCCATCGCCTGGCAGAGCCTGCGCGATAGCGCCAATCATCAAACTAGATGGATATGGCCATGGTTGTGTAGAATGCACGACCACCCGACCTACACGCACACCAGCTTCTTCCCACACTTCCCGACGCACAGCCTCCTCAATGGATTCACCGGGTTCCAGAAATCCCGCAAGTGTGCTGTGCCAGTAGGGAGGCCAGCGGGTTTGCCGACCCAGGAGGATACGTTGGCCATCAGCGGACACCACAGCTGCAATCATGGTTGGATCTGTTCGGGGGAAGCAGACGTTGGATACTCCGTGGCGTGTTGGACAATCTGGGAGTTCGATTGCTTCAGAGCTTCCCTTGAGATCGGTCGGCGGACAGATGCGTTTGTAGCCCGCCTCAATGGATAGGTTGGGGTTGCCGCAGCCAGCGCAGAAGACGTTACGGACGTTCCAGTCGATTATTGAGCGGGCTTGGGCAAACATGGCGGCTGTTGCCGGAGTTAGCGTAGGCAATAGTAATGCCGTAGGAAATGACATACCATCTTCTGAATGCAAAGACAGGCTTCTTGGGTTTGTTGCTATCCACAGCCCCTTTTCCTCCTGTGTCTTCAGCCACGTCTCTGCTAGGTCCTTGCGCTGGCCCTTGGGTGTTATATCAAGTGCGAAAAACGGCCGGCCCTTGACCTCTCCGTGCTCTGAAGTTTCAAAGATCACATCATCACCATCCACTGTGCCCAGGAACACAATCAGCGCGGAGGGTCCCGCCGTGGAATCGTAGTTCTTAGTCCTCTGTGCATCAGCTAGCTTGAATGGTTCCTCGATAAGCGGCTTGACATCGTCGTATGTTAACAGCGCAAGCTTTCGCTTCTCGACCACAAGAGGGTTCAAGTCCGTCAATGCGACAAAGCGCGCAGAGGAGCTTGTAGCAGCTTTGTTAAGAAAGGCGGCATCTGACCGGAGGAATGAGTAGCGGTTAAGTCGACTACCAGCATAGTAGTTGATGACTTCCTTGCCAAAACGTCTAGTGAGCATTGAGTCGTCGCTGGTGAGAGCAGCAAGCTCAGGCAGGAGAGGGGGAGTAGATGTCATGGGTGGCCGCGGCGGACGGGGGGAGATGTATTTAACTCCAGAAGGATGCCGAGGAGCTGAGAGTTTAGGTAGAGTATGATAAATTGTGGGAGTGTGTGTGTCTAGTGCCGAGGTCGAGGTGTTCTGGGTATTCTTAATAGAAACGAAGCAGATGGTGTCAGGAAATCTGAGATGTTGATTTTTTTAAATGTCAAATAATATCAGAGACTTCGTGCCATTTCACAAGACTACGTCCGGTATCAGTAGAGCGGCTTATTCACAGTGGAACTGAGACGGCGTGAGCTTCCGTGAGGTAATGCGGAGGTGATGAGTAATAGGCGAATTCGCGATTGACTTGGTAGTGTATCCGAGGCGCGCCTCCGGCGTCGGCATAACGCACCGGCAGCAAAGACCCAGCATCGGGACGGTTTGAGGAGTCCTCCCGTGGAGATGGTGCTTCGGTTCGTGGTCGGCCCGGGCAGCTTCATGGTCTCACTGCAGCTGATTGACCTTGAACACAAACATCGTGTTCTTGTCATGGGAATGGCGAAAGATTGTTCGGCTCAAGCCATATACCAGCGTGGGGTAGGCACTTCAACGAAGAGGGGTGTTTCCTTTTCCTGTCCAACGGGAGGCACTCAACAATTGGCGTTCCACTGCACTGTGGAAGGAACGACTCGCAACGGTGCCTTTACTCTTAGCACTCGGATACATTGACGAGCCTTGGACTACGTTAATGTGCTTGACAACGAGAAATCCCTCAGTATCTTTATACCTGACAAAGCCCCTAAGTGCACCTACCTATGTGCCCAGCTATATATAGGCACCTCTGGAGGACATTGCCGGCTGGAACAATGCCGGAGTTGAGCTTTTGACGCCAAATGGCCTCTGGATGAGGTGACGCTACCCCGTACCTTGGTGATGCATGGCTTGATGTTGGCGGCCAGCCCCACTCTCTGGCGTCCGCTTTTGGCCAAGTACGAAGCCTGAGACACATGCAGCACCGTACATACAGCGGCGCAGTGCGTAAACTCATCGGCCCCCTGCGTCATGCAACCGCCCTACCAGTGAGTCAGCGACTCAGTTGTAGTTGAGTCCTGCAGGCCAGGCGGCTGAGCTAACTTTGAGGTGCCCAAACTTGACTGTATTCGGCTTGCCCGCCAAGCAGGCGACGGTGGGAAAAAAGTCTGCTTCTCATCTCGATTGCCCAGTCGCCTGGCGTGTGAATTGCTCGGGGCGCAGCAACTTTTTGCTAGGTGCGCAGGATCCCTACCACGCCTTAATTTTTAGGTGGTTAAGCTTACTATTAAGCCCTATAATATATTTTAGGTATAAATATATGGTAGTTTTATTTAATATTAAAAAGCTTTAATAAAAATTAATAGATTTTTTAATAAGGTTATAATTATATAAATTTTTTAATAAGTAATAGTATTTTTCCTCCTTTAATAATATATATTATAATAGCTAATAAAGGCCCCTTAAACCCCTTAAATCTACCCTTAAATTTATTACTTTTACTAGGCTATAATAGCTTTAATAACCTTTATAATATTATATAAGTATTTAATAAATAAAATAATATAGCTTTTATTAAAAGTATTATTACCTTAAAGACCTTAATTAATAGTATTTAATAGCCTTATTTTAGCTAGCTTAATTATGATTATAATAGCTATTAAAGGGCTTTTAAAGGCGCTAGAATTTAATAAATATATACTTATAAGACTAATTATAATTACTAGCTTAAGGTAATATTTATTAATAATTCTAATTATTAGGTATAATATTATAAGAAGTAAAGCTATTATAATTATAAGAAATTAAGTAATTTTTTTAGATATATAATTTACTAGAAATTTATAAAGTAATAAAAGTAATAAATTTTATGCTTTTTAAAGTATATAAGCCTTTAGCCTTAAAGTATTAGTATAATAATTTATAATAATAAAGAAGATAAGCTTTATTTTTTACTTAAAAATATTTATAATTAATACTAAAAAGCTTATTAAAATAAATTAATTAGTTATATATTTTTATAATAATTTATTAAGTATTTAAAAGAGAAAGGCCTATCTTATAAAAAGAAATTTAATAAAGAAAAGCGCCTTAAAAGTGTTATTTAAACCTATTCTTTTTATATTAAAAAATAAAAGGTTTTCTTAGAATTTATTAATATAAATTATACCTATAAAACTAACTATTAGGGTTTTTTTTTTTTAAATATAATTATTATTATAAATTAAAAATTAATTATAAATATTATATTTAGCTTTACTAGAACTAAAAAAGAAAAGGGCTATTACTAGATATTAGCCTTATTAAAGGAAATTTATATTAAGGTTTAGGTTTTTACTTTTAAGGTTATTATAATAGACTTTAAAAAAGTATTAAAAAACGCTCTTAAAGTTATTTAGCTAGAGATATAATAAATGCTTTATATCTAGTATATTCTATTAAATATTAAGAATAACTTTTATAAAAAGTAGATTAAAGCTATTAAAGCTATTAATAAAAATAATAATAATAATAAAAATAATAAGTTAATAGCTAAAGCTTTTAATAATAGCCTAATAAGAGCTTTTTTAGTATTTTAAAAGCTATTATTTATAAATATAATTAATGATTTTAAGTCTACTTAGATCTAAATAATTAATATATATAAATTATAATAATCTACGATTCTTTATTATATAAAAGAGATATACCTTAAGGTTAAGTAATAATAGGCTTATTATTTTATAAAAGATTATTAAACTTTTAGTAAAAAGGTAAATAGTTTTATAAAGGTCTTTTATAAACTATTAAAATTATACCTATTTATAGGAATAAGTAACTTTTTATTACTTTTAAATAAAATTAAGTAAATACTTAATAACTAAGAATATAATTATTATACTTATATAATAGATAATAAAGTTAAATAATAATACCTAATTAATTATAAAGAATAGCTTAGTAAGCTACCTATATAAATTTCCTTTAAAGCTATTAATCTTTTAATTAAGTAATATAAGCTTATTTAAGCTTATAAAGCTAAAAAACGTAAGCTATAACCTTATATAAGCTTTTTTATTAAGTAATTTAGTCTTTTTTATACTTATTATATTTTAAAGAAGAAAATAGCCCTTAAGCTTATATTACTAAAAAAGTATGAAATTAATTGCTATTAGTAGCTATAAAAGCTCTTAGTAAAGCCCTGATTAAATTTCCTGCTTATTATTATAAAAAATATAACTAATTTTAACCTTTAAACCCTTAATGACTTATACCTTTAAATTTATAACCTTATACTTATCTTAAATTATTAGTAAAAGGTAATAATAAATAAAAAAGATATTTAATACTAATTTATATATTAAAATAAGTATTAATAACTAAGTTAGTTATTTTAAAGGCCTTTTATATTAAGTATTTAAAGAGATTATATATAAGCTAAGCTTAATATAGCTATAAGGAATTAATACTATAGGTAATAATTACTATTATTATTATAATAATTAAATTATAATATAAATAATAAGTAAAAGGTATTAACTTAAAGATAAGGCTTCTTTTAAATTAAGGAATTTATTCTTATAATATTATTATTATTATTATAGTTAATAGATATATTTAGATAAGTAATTAAGGCGCTTAAATAGCTAAAATAACTAAAAAATCTATCTTAAAAATATATATTTTAATAAAAACATTAAAAATTATGTTTTTAAGTAATTTAAGGCTTACTTAAGTGTTACGACCTAGCACGTAGGCTGTAGGTTAGGCCGGCTATATAGAGCCGCCAGGCGGCATAGGCATAACGGCCACGGAATATTAGTTAGTATAATAGGACTAATGGGGAGGACGCTTAGTTATTATAAGTAAATATATATAATACTTATTAGTATTTAAAAGTAAGTATTAAGAATACTTACCTTTATAATAACTAGTAATCATAATATATAAGGACCCTTAAATTTACTTTATAAATAGACTTTAGCTTTTTAGCTTTTAATATAAATTATTATATTAATTAAGCTTTACTTATAACTCTTTAACTCTAATTACTTAGTTATGGTTTATAACCTATTATTAATATAATACTTAATTACTTAGATTAACTGCCTTAGTTGTTCTACTAACATAAACTACGACTAGTTTATTCCTTAGGAACCTAAGCTATTATATATTAAAAGCTCTTATTTAGATAACCATTACGTTACTCTAAGTAATATCTAATAATTATTAAAATAGCACCTATAATACCTACTTTGTCTAAGGCAACTACATCACTAGCACCTTAGGAGCCTTAAAGCCTTAGACCCTAAGATATTATAAATAAACTTATATAATTACGCTAATAAGTTAAGTAACTTAGCCTTAAATATTAAATACTTATATTAAGATAAAAAGACTTAAGAGAGATTATTAAGCCTAGGGCACTAAGACCTTATAATAATAACCTAAGAATACTTTAAGGATTCTTAACCTAGCTTAGGGTGTACTATTAATTCTACTTAAATAAGTTAACTAATATATAAGTAAAAGTATTATATACTAAAGGATATATAATAGGTATTATACTTATATGGTTTAAACTAATTATATAAGACTATCTTATTAATATAGGAGATAATTAAGAAGATAAAATAAAAGAAATATTTATTAATTATAAGAAATTTAAAAAAGTAATTAAAAAAATATTTAGATTAATTAATAAAGTAAGAACCGTAATTATTTATATGGATTAACTTAGATAAAAAGGATCTATATTAGATTATATAGCACGTTTTAGATAAGTTACCTTAGTATTAGACTGGGATAATAAGCCACTTATATTAGCCTTCTTTAAAGGATTAAAAGAAGAAATTAAGGATAAACTATACAAAGAAGATATGCTAAATAACTTCTTAGACTATGTAGTAATAGTAGTTTAAATTAATAATAAATAGTATTAATAACGCATATAAAAGTAATAAGGGAAGGGAACTTAAAACCCTATAAGAAGAAGAGGATAGTAAGTAAACTAAAAGAGGAGA